ATTAGTCAACAACAAAAAACTGGCACTATTAGTCACAGGACTCTGGGGGTTTATATTGGGGGAAGGATCTGAGTACCTATGGATCCGGAGTGCAACTGATCATATCCAAATTAACTGACTAACTAACTCATTCACCATCTAACTAACTAACTAACTAACTCATTCACCATCTAACTAACTAACTAACTAACTGGCTGGTTTCACGGTACGTTTCATTTGCTTAGGTAGCGTTAGATTTGATTTCCATTGTGTATTCTCGCTAGGAGATAGTTCGATGGTAGGTCTCTATAAGTGATTTGTTAGTCTGGTGGCAAATTGAAGCTTAACGTACATGTTAAATATGTTTCGTTTTTTTTTGCCATTGTTGAGGTTATCTCGCTGAGCGTATGGTGTCATTATCATATTTCCTTGTTAAATTGAGATTATTAGCACTTTAGATTCTGGTCGAGCACGTTGGCTGTTAATGTATTATTTGTAAAGTATACTTTAATTCTGTGTTCTGTTCAGTAAAATAAACAGCTGTTTAATGTGATGATTATAATTCATTTGCTTGATTTAATTTAGGATCTGTAGTCCGTGCACGTGGTTCGTCTAGGTGTATGTAGCCATGTATTTAGGTTGTCGTCATGTAACTCACGATACAGATCTTCTTTGTCTGTGTCTTAGGGAAATATTCTAGGATCCCTGCGCAGAAGAACCCTTGTCTTTTCTTTACTTTCCTGTTTTTGCTGTTTAGCGAGGAACTATCACTTTGTTCTAATCACAGTTTTCCTTTATCTCCCCTACTTCAGTTTTTTTTTTTTTTTTTTTCCTTCTTTTTTCTTCCCGCTAGTATACAACTAACTAAATAAATCAATAAATAACCAAATAACTAACTAACTTTTAAACCTTCACGCTTCAGTGTGTTTTGCTTACTGTGAACACTTTGTATGGCTACGGCATTCACTTGAAGTATCCAGCGTATCTGACTCAGTTTGTGACTGGAATCACTGGCATAGGCGGTTGAGCAAATATGGGCCAAGCTCGTTTGCTGTGATACCGAAACCGTAACGACTAACTAACTAACGACTATCTAACTAACATTGCGTCCAGTGCAGCAAACATTTGTGCTGTAAACATTCATTTGTTGTTTCTTATACCGAAGTCGATCTGTACTTTTAGCCCCACTGCCTTTTCTTTTTCTTTTTCTGTCTTTTGACTTTTCTTTCTTATCTATCTATCGTCTATATTGTGTCTACTCCCACCCCCCCCCCCCCCCCATAATAACGATTTCGATTTAAAATAGACCTGGAATATCTTGCAAATTAGAATAGTAACAATTTACTTTTTATAATTTATGAAGATTGTGCGCCCACACAACACCCACACATACACACACACACGGGCTCACAAGCGCACACAATCACACACGACTACGCACAGTCTATGCCATTTGTTTTGTTTCTATAGTCTATGAAACTGTGGTTTGATTTATATAGCTTTGTTGAGTTTTCTAGTCAAATTTTTCTTGAATTCCTTGTATATATAAGCTTGTCACTCCCATTTAACCAGTTGCGTCCTTTTTAGGACGAAATTTTTTGTTATTTGAAGCCCCACCCTGGCTTTTGCCAGGGGCCGCAATATAGGCAGGTCATAAACATGGCCAATTGTCTGAACGCGGTTTCTGGGACCTCTCCACTGCAATCCTAATCCGCACGGTGGCACTTTGTGTCATCGGGTGTTTATGGCTTGTGTGATGTCCTGGTGGGGTAGAAAGTCAGTCAGTCGACTCCCATATTTTCACCATTTGATTTACAGAGCGGGAAAGGGGGTGGGGGGAAATCATTTTTTTAATCGACTTTCACACAAGATGTATTTAGATATTTATAACTTTTGTCTTATTTATAAATTAATGTGTGAACCCGTCGTTGCTCGGTATCCGGTTAATTTTAACTTGTAAAACTGCCAGGAAAATCACTTTTTGTATCGTAAAACATAGTCCACATTTTTGACTGTAGCTAACCTGTTGTCTGGTTGCAATGGACGCTATTTTCTTACCACTCTACAGAAATGATCTTATTTGTCACTGCCTCGTGCTGTTCTCTACGTTATAATCTTGAGCGTCAGGCATATTAAACTGATATTTTTGCAGCGAATTTTACAGATCAGTTTAATGACCGTGTTTTAAAACAGTTACCGATTTCAACAAAATTATGCAAGCAAGTTTATTGCGATGGCAAATAAGTGACTTCATCCCCTCGGTCTCTCAGACTTAGAGACAAAACAGTTATGAACTAACTAGACTTGACTGACTGTAGGTTGTGGTTTATCGTGTCTGCAGTTTACATAATAGTCAGGTTGGTCAGTTATGCACGCTTTAAATGTTTTACTGTAAGAGATTTGTCAAATTGCTGAAGTCGTTTTTACCTCCTATAATAAAATAATATTTATTGATAGTTTCGGCGATTGCATCTTTTACTTACAAACAGCCAAAGAAGTTTCAGACCTCAAGTTCAAAACAATCAAGACGCGGATTTATTCACAGTAAATTATGCCCTTCATAAGTATAGTGAAAGCAAATAAAGCATATAAACTTTTTTTTTAATATGGTACATTAGATGGCTCTCCTCCAAACTCCGTCCCTATATTATGGTGGTCGAACAAATATTCTAACAGGGCCTCAGTCGTGTGTAAAATGCGGAGTGCCTGCTGGGGAACAAATTGCGGCAAAACTAGAATTGCTTCCAAATAACAGGCCAATATTATCAAGGGCAAACAAATACTCTAACAGGGTCTCAGCAATCATTGCGGACCTGTTTCTGCGACTATGCCCCACCACCGACAGTGTTTCCCGCGCCGCTACATGTGGCACGGATGTAGGGCTAAACTAGGTGGCAGGGACTTACGAGCAAGTAAATTGGAGGAAGTTGCAGGAGATGCGGTAGCTGCTGCTCGTGAGTCCCAGCCATCTAGTTTAGCCCCCCATCAGTGCAGCGCATAGCGGCTCAGGGGGATACGCTCGGCCGTGAGTTTAATCAGAAGAACACTATCGCTAATCTGCATCGGAGTGTGTGGTCTCCCCGCCATTATCGTGTGTATTGTTGCATTTCTTGAAATTGTCAACAGACAAAAATTATAGTTTTGCTGCGATGTGTTCATCTGAGGAATTCTGCATTTTACACACGATTGAGGCCCTGTTAGGATATTTGTTTGGCCGCCATAATATTGGGACGAAGTTTGGAGGAGAACCCATTAGAGTAATAGAAGGTCTCACGCAAGATAAGCTATATATTGTCTGCATTTGAATTATTTATCAAGTACTATTATTGCTCATGAGCAGTGCAAATTATTTTCAAGAGAATTTAGGAAGGCATGTTATTTTTCAGCAGATACAAGTGTCATTAACAGTGCAGCTATTTTGTTTTTGTTTTCATGTTGGCAAATAATTCAAAAGCATAAGAGAAGAACGACACTGGACTGGATCTTTTAATTAAGAGTGTCAAAAAGATAAAGGGACCAGAAGTTTAACTCTTTGAGTCCCAGAGGGTTTAGCATCACAGGCCTAAGGGGTAGTCAAAAGACACGTAAAATCGACGCATTATGCATTCATTGGGCTTCTATGCAGTAACCTATGGACATATGATGCGTTCCTTGGGACTCAAAGAGTTAACAACAGGTCCTCTTCTGATGATGGGAAGCCTTCTGTTGTGCTTGCTTCCCTACAGTTTTGATTACGTACCACTTATCATTATACACATTTGTTAAACCTTTTGAATTAAATATAATGTGGTTAACTGTAAGGAAAGAGGTCAATACAAGGTTGTCTGAAGAGCAACTGAAAGCAGATATTGGTTGGTTAATGGGGTGTGACCTTATCATTGTGCCTGTGATCAGGCAAGTTCACAAACTACAGTGTGTTAAAATTGTGTGGAGGGGAAGAAAGCAAGCATATGTAATATGTAATAGATCTCATAAAGATGTTTCTTGAGGTATAATAGACAATGCGTGTTCTTGTTGCTTCTCCACATTATCGTAAGGTCAGACACAGGATCAGTTAATGATCAGTAATTAGCTGGGGACTAACCTTCATAACAGCAAAGTCTTGTCTGAGAAATGTTAGCAATTTCATGGAAGCTGACAATTTGCTTTGCCACATTTCCTAACCATAAAGTGTGTCTTCACAATATAACTATTTCAGTCCCAAGGAATCCCTCTTACATCTATATGTCCCTACCTAGAAGCCCAATGAATGCAAGTGGTGCCAATTTTATGTCGCACTTTACTACCCCTTGGGCCTCTGATGCTAAACTCCCTTGGACTGAAAGAGTAAAGGCAGAATCACAACTTTCTAAAAGTATCCAACCATAGGCCACTTCCGTTAAGAATATGTTCTATACATTTCTGTCGGATACAGTCGAAACACTTTATTAAACTATTTTAAATTGCTATTGCATGTGTTTGTGTTCATTATATTTCAATTGCATACAGTCTAAACACTATCAAACCATGTTTAGTTACCATTGTGTGTAAGTGCGTGTGTATTTGTGTGTGTGTGTTCATTATAATTTAGTGGGGTACAGTTGAAATACTTTTTAAAACCATTTTCAGTTACCATCGTGTGTGCAATTGTGTGTGTGTGTGGGTTTTGGTGTGTTCATTATATTTTATTGGGGTATAATATGAACAGTATATTAAACCATGTTCAATTACTACTCTCTTTCTCTCTCTCTGGCATGTGCATGCGTGTGTGTGGTGTGTGTGTGTGGGTTTTTCTATCATATTTTGGTAGTGTTCAGTCTAAACACTTAAATACACCACAATCAGTTACCATTGAAAAAGATGAATTCATTTCCACTTACAATGTCTCCATTATGTTTCTGCAGGACTAGAATTCAAAGTCTGCCTGGCCACATCCCAATAGTAACCCAACTGTTCAATAAGTAGGATCTTCTGCATTGTCTGTGAATCTAAGTTGATGAGTCAAGACAAGATACTGGCAGACACCAAGCCACACCCCAGCCATGCCCCCAAGCAGACCTTTGAAAGATAGTGACACCAAAAAGGCGCGAGTTTTGGCCAACAGATATGAGATTGTGAAGAAACTTGGAAGCGGAAACTTTGGAACTGCATTTTTGTGCCAGGACCTGAAGTCTGGCAACCAACTGTAAGTATCTAGTTATGATTTAATAATGTGGATGTATCTGTTGTGGCTATGGCAAACTTTTTTGCTTGTTCAGCATTGTGCACCTGTGAGGTTCATTGCTGCAGATATCACCAGTCTTCATTCATCGCTTTGATTGACCTTCTCTTCCTAGTTGGATGTTATCTCTCCAGTCTTCTTGGTAGACCATGGCTGCTCCCATTCATCTCTTTTGGGTACACAGTTTTTGTCTCTCTGTTATCTGCTTCTCTCTTTATATCAGTGGCAAACTAATGAGTGTAAAATTGCCTAGAAAAACCACAGCCAACAGATGCTGGATATGGTTTGCAACGTATTATACAGATTCCGCAAGTAAATAGCATGAGGAAGAAAAATTACATTTAACCACTTATATACTTATCTGTGTGTATGTGTGTGTGTGGTGTGTTTGTGTATGTCCTTAGCATGGGGTGGGAAGGTGGCTTTCAGTGACATATAATTATTCTGTAGTGAAAAACTGACATTTTACCAAATCCCTGTGAAAGCACCTCGGTATGGTAAGGGCTTTGAAGTTCTAATGACCCCTAGGAGTTATGCTGATGGTAGCTCAGCTACTGGTAAAGTCTCCTGTGTCGAAGTTGTCAAGCGAGAGGAACCAAAGAGAGACATAAACCTGCTGACTTGCAGGTTGACTAAAGAAAAAGACAGAAATGTGTAGACCCTTTACAGGACCTCGCAAACCAACCCCTGCTTATTGACTGTTTATGCTTTTTCTAGGCAGTTTTATGTTCAATAGTTTGCCTTTGCTATTTGGTCACTGCTCAATATTATTGTCGAAATCAGTGCAAAGCGGTGGGCTGCCAAAACCTAATCAAACCGGATATTCAAAATTAGGCTCTCCTTTAAATAACGGTCGCTAGCTGGAAGGCGACGGTCTCTTAGTCGGAGTTCCATCTGAATTGGAACTCTCTGCTTGCTGCTAAAGGTAAGGTCACAGTGCTTATGGGAATGTTTCAATTGCTGTGATGTGTATTCTTAATTAAACATTTACATTCATCATTGACAACATTTATGTAATATTTGCCAACAGGAAAGTTCTCAAGGAAACCCCTGTAGACCTGCAGCCCGATGAAACAGTTGATGCCATGAGGGAGGCCAGGTTCCTGTCTAAACTTGAGCATCCTGGTGTTGTCAAGTGCTATGACAATTTTATCACAGAAGACTCCTTTTGTATCATAACAGAATATTGTGAGGTATCAGTCATTTTTGTTTTTGTTTAGGCTGTTGTGTGATTGATTTATTTCCTATGTAATGTATTCATGTAGTGGTAGTACGGTGGGCTATATACTTGCATACATTGTGTTGGTTTCGCTGAGGTGGTCTCCATAGTGAAGTGATTAAGCCATTTGCCTCATGCTTTGAAGGTCATGGATTTGTTTCATGGATGTGTCATTCAGCTTTTGGGTGTAGTTTTTTTTTAGTCCCTGGCATTTGTGCTTTGTGCAACATTCTCGGCAGGTGGCTAGCAGTTCTGCTGAGTGAGACTTAGCCATATGGGACAAAACCTGATACAATCATACCAATCCTCTTTCATTGAAGTGTTAGTTGAAGCCTCATGAAATACTGTGGTGCTGGAACAGAAGAACTGATCAAGATATGCTCAAAGGACCAGCAACTCAAGCAAGCAAAAGACTTCAGATATCTAGGGAACATAATATCATGCAGTGGAATAATCAAAGCTGAGATAGATTACAGACATAATAAAGCAAATCGAATCATTGGACATATGTCACCGATTCTGCAGAACAAACATGTAACTGACACCAAAAGAGCACTATTCAATACAATATTTAAACTAATATTGTGTTAACAGTGCCAAATATAGATGTTAATAACAAAAGAAAAGAATAAATATCGAAACAACAAAAATTAGATGTCTGCGGCCAATCCTAAATGTAACAAATGTAGCTAGAAAAGATAGGATCAGAAATGTTGTTATCAGGAAAGAAGCTTGGATGGAACCAGTACTAAACTACATCAAGAGACAACATGGTTTGGAGATGTGTCAAGACTACCCCCAGATGGTGCACCACAGAGAGCCCTGTCACTGAGACATAATGGAAGCAGATCCAGAGTTAACCATGCAGGCAATGAATAGATGGAATATCCCATGCTGTAAATACCAGCAACTACATAGCACATACAAAGCCTCTCACGTGATGCCTCTTCAAAGCCTTATGCTGAAAGGCAATACAGTGCTAGAGAAAAAGAATTGAAAGGTTGGAATTCTGGACTCTTCTTCAACAGATCCAGGTTTGAATCCTCCTATTAGCAGGAAGAAAAACAATCCTGATCTGCAGAGAACATTTCAAATGCAGTAAGCCATGCAGCTCTATTTTCTCTGGCTCAAGAGCCCCATGTCATCATCATCATCAACAATCAGCTGGTCCTTTACAGAATGTTGCTTCCGTAATGGCACGCCTAAAAGTCTCTCTTTCTCAAGCCAGTTCACCAGCGCTATATGCTCTCATAGCCAATGAATCTTCAGTGTTTTGCATCTACTTTTGCGTAGACTGGCCTCGGGACAGGATGCTGTTTATGAGCCAGTTCTCTTTGATGCTCGAATCATGTAGAATGTTGGTAAGATTTTTTTTTTTTCAACTTCCATTTAGTGTTTGTAGGGATTTTAATGTGGTAGTTCCCTTGCTTTCCACATACATCCACATAGCTGAGCATCTCAATCTTCAGCAGTCTTTTAGATAGCCTGCACCGAGATATCTGCGTATGCAGTCAAATACTTAGTTCCCAAGACACCATTAGCCTCACAAAGGTGTGTTTCCATCCACCACAGTGAATGCAGACTGTAAAGACAGCATTATTGTTTAGATTTGTGGTTTTTGCTGTTTGGGTTTTAGAACTTAGAAAACAAAGAGGACATCAGAAGTAATTACTGCTGGATGCATATTTTCTGATTAGAGAGTGATATTTATTGTTTTTTTTTCTTCTCTCCTCCAGGGTGGTGATTTGGATCAGAAAATTAAAGAACGCAAACATGATGAGGAATTTTTTGATGAGAAGACGATTCTGGACTGGACAGTACAACTCTTACTGGCTGCCGAATACATGCATAGTCGCAGGGTGCTACACAGGGACCTCAAGACCAGGTCAGTCTTCTTCTTCTTGTTCTTCTTGTTCTTCTTGTTCTTGTTCTTCTTGTTCTTCTTGTTCTTCTTGTTCTTCTTCTTGTTCTTCTTCTTCTTCTTCTTGTTCTTCTTCTTGTTCTTCTTCTTCTTCTTCTTCTTCTTCTTCTTCTTCTTCTTCTTCTTCTTCTTCTTGTTCTTCTTGTTCTTCTTGTTCTTCTTGTTCTTCTTGTTCTTGTTCTTCTTGTTCTTCTTGTTCTTCTTGTTCTTCTTGTTCTTCTTGTTCTTCTTGTTCTTCTTCTTCTTCTTCTTCTTCTTCTTCTTCTTCTTCTTCTTCTTCTTCTTCTTGTTTTTCTTGTTCTTCTTCTTCTTGTTGTTGTTGTTGTTCTTCTTCTTCTTCTTCTTCTTCTTCTTCTTCTTCTTCTTCTTCTTCTTCTTCTTCTTCTTGTTTTTCTTGTTCTTCTTCTTGTTGTTGTTGTTGTTGTGTTCTTCTTCTTCTTCTTCTTCTTCTTCTTCTTCTTCTTCTTCTTCTTCTGCTGCTGCTGCTGCTGCTGCTGCTGCTGCTGCTGCTGCTGCTGCTGCTGCTGCTGCTGCTGCTGCTGCTGCTGCTGCTGCTGCTGCTGCTGCTGCTGCTGCTGCTGCTGCTGCTGCTGCTGCTGCTGCTGCTGCTGCTGCTGCTGCTGCTGCTGCTGCTGCTGCTGCTGCTGCTGCTGCTGCTGCTGCTGCTGCTGCTGCTGCTGCTGCTGCTGCTGCTGCTGCTGCTGCTGCTGCTGCTGCTGCTGCTGCTGCTGCTGCTGCTGCTGCTGCTGCTGCTGCTGCTGCTGCTGCTGCTGCTGCTGCTGCTGCTGCTGCTGCTGCTGCTGCTGCTGCTGCTGCTGCTGCTGCTGCTGCTGCTGCTGCTGCTGCTGCTGCTGCTGCTGCTGCTGCTGCTGCTGCTGCTGCTGCTGCTGCTGCTGCTGCTGCTGCTGCTGCTGCTGCTGCTGCTGCTGCTGCTGCTGCTGCTGCTGCTGCTGCTGCTTCTTCTTCTTCTTCTTCTTCTTCTTCTGCTTCTGCTTCTTTGAGTTTACCAGCCACTACCACACTTTGGTCTTGCTCCAGAACTTAAATTTTGCACACATTTCCATTTAACAGATCTGCTTTATTTCATCTGGTCTTTTCTTCCATCCCCACCCCCAACCAGGTGAATGATTTATTTGATTTATTTTTTTTTTAAGTTAATTTTCTTGTTCCATCCTTGTAACCAGTAGTGCTGAAATGTTGTATTGGACCTCTTTTATTTATGACAGTTAAAAAAAAAATTTAGGAAGAGCTTGAGGCAGTGGATGTGTGGGAGGCAGTGGATGTGTGGGAGGCAGTGGATATGTGGGAGGCAGTGGATGTGTGGGAGGCAGTGGATGTGTGGGAGGCAGTGGATGTGTGGGAGTCAATGGATGTGTGGGAGGCAGCGTATGTGTGGGTTTCTCAGACAAATGCTGTAAATGCTTTGAATAGTCTGAGTCAGTAACCATGACGACCTAGACAAAAGCTGATCTTCTTCTTCTTCTATGTTTGCCTTTACCATGATGGTTGATTTATTGTATTGTGGTTTAGTGCTAGGCTGCGATATCTGCAACTTTCAGCCTAGAACATCTGATTTCAGCAAATCCTTGATTACTTGCCTTTCATGGCGTGCTTGTCGAGGGGCAGTGGATGTGTTCTTTCTTTTTTTTTATTCCCCCCAAAAAGGGAGGCCCCAAAACCCATGGGGGGGGGGGGGAAGAAGCAAACTGGTTTTTTTTGTAATATAATGGGAGGAAAGGCATTAAAAGACATTGTGACAACTGGAAAGATCAGTGGTGGAAGAAGCACAGGCCAAAATGAATGATGCAGGAGGGTCTAAATTAATCCCTTGGGATAATAGTCATTAGTCACGGTTCTATCATTACTGCAGACGAGTCTCCTCATATTTGCTTTATTCCTTTGCCAATGGAAATCACACAAACTGTCTTTTGTGGTCCTATTTGAGAAACTAGTAAGAAACATGTCAGTCCCAGCAAAATCTTGAAGCTTGCACATGCAAATGCAAAGAAATGCATAAGGCAGCCCTCAGCTGTGCCAACACAAACTGTCTCCCACCAGAATAGCACAACCCTATTGATGCAAGCAGTCAGCCGGCATTTCTACACACAATTCTGCATAAGTATTTGCCATTTGGAAAGAAATCCTTCAACACCATTTTAGTGCAGTTCACAACACAAAACCATGGCAGGTACAAAGAAAAAACACATTCCACATGAACTCCACATTGTGGAACTAAGCACTCATCTCAGTAGCTAGGCAGAACCTTTTGTACTCCTAGTCCAGGATTTGAGATATTGCAACAGCAAACCATGGCTAGACAAAATAACTTTTCACAGGGTCAGCAACCATCTAGCCAAGCTGCCAGATTGGACCACAAATAATGATCGGTAAACCATGGCTAGACAAAATAACTTTTCACAGGGTCAGCAACCATCTAGCGAAGCTGCCAGATTGGACCACAAATAATGATCAGTAGGGTGCACAAAGAGACATCTTATTCAAAGCATATTTATTCCAACTCTGTGCTACCAGTGCCAGACATGGTCACTCACAACAAAACATAAAAGAAAATTAGTTACCACGGAAATGAGATGTCTGAGAAGGGCTGTAGGAGTGACCATAAGAGATAAGATCAGGAATGAGATCATAAGAGAAAAATTCGGCATAGAACCAATTTTGGATTACATACGAAGACAGCAAGTGAAATGGTTTGCCCACTTAGAGAGAATGCCTTGTGACACCATACCATACAAAGCATACATGGAAAGAGAAGAAGGACTTAGAGCACGAGGTAGACCAAGAACAAGATGGAAGGATAACATCAGAGAAACTCTACAACAGCACGATGTGCCTATGGTCGAGGCAGCCAGAAGAGCTAGAAACAGAACCTTATATCTCCCTCGACACCCACAGCGGTAAAAGAGGAAGTGAAGAAGAAGAAGAAGGGTGCATCGAGTCATTACACACCGATCAGTGACTGTCGGTCAGTCTTTGTTAACATGTTTTTCTTGCAATACCTTTAAACTGAAAACAATTGTTGTTATTTCTAAACAGGAATTGTTTTATTTCTTAGGAATATTTTTATACAGAACAACAAAATGAAGCTTGGAGATTTTGGAATATCGCGCATTTTGATGGGGACAACTGACATGGCTTCCACTTTCACAGGGACTCCGTACTACATGAGTCCAGAGGTTCTTAAACATGAGGGCTACAACTCAAAGTCAGACATTTGGTAGGTACTAACATATCGGGTTAGAAAATAAGAAAGAGATTGTTGTAGGAGAAGCATATAATTTAACACGAACAAGTCTGTTTATACCTTGTCATTATCCACATATGCGTCGCAGGTCGACCCAGCCTCTAATGGGTACCAGGATGTATGTCCTGGGAAAGTAAAGACGGCCGGCGTAATGCTGACCACATTACCCACCTAGTGCCGATTAGTCTGTAAAAATATGGGTGCTCTTCCCATGTGCCTGATGTGCCTAAGGCATAAAAAGGGTTCTTTACTTTAAATTATTATCCACATATTCTTCGTCTTTCTTTTCCTGCTGCTGATTCCTCTTCTTGTCCATCTGTCTGTCTGTCTGTCTCATTCTGTCTGTTTTCTGTTTTTATTTATGTATATGAATACATAAATGTTAATATAGCATGTTTTGTACATGGTACATATGCTCAGTATTATGTTACTATGTTTACTGCTGTTTGAATGTAACCTACAAAGCACAGAACATATATATATATATATGTGTGGGCAAAGATTAAAGCAATGAGAGAGATATCTGTGTGATCTTCAAGAGGAGACTGGAGCACTGAGGGAGATTGTATGATCTTTGAGAGAAGACTGGAACATTAATGGAGTTATCTATGTGACCTGTTGGAGGGAACTGAAACGTTTAGTAAGATGTCTGTGTTAAATGTGGGAGGAGACTGGATCACTAAGTGAGATATCTGTGTTAAATGTGGGAGGAGACTGGATCACTAAGTGAGATATCTGTGTTAAATGTGGGAGGAGACTGGATCACTAAGTGAGATGTCTGTGTTAAATGTGGGAGGAGACTGGATCACTAAGTGAGATGTCTGTGTTAAATGTGGGAGGAGACTGGATCACTAAGTGAGATATCTGTGTTAAATGTGGGAGGAGACTGGACCACTAAGTGAGATATCTGTGTTAAATGTGGGAGGAGACTGGATCACTAAGTGAGATGTCTGTGTTAAATGTGGGAGGAGACTGGACCACTAAGGGAGATATCTGTGTTAAATGTGGGAGGAGACTGGATCACTAAGTGAGATATCTGTGTTAAATGTGGGAGGAGACTGGATCACTAAGGGAGATATCTGTGTTAAATGTGGGAGGAGACTGGATCACTAAGGGAGATATCTGTGTTAAATGTGGGAGGAGACTGGATCACTAAGGGAGATATCTGTGTTAAATGTGGGAGGAGACTGGACCACTAAGTGAGATATCTGTGTTAAATGTGGGAGGAGACTGGATCACTAAGTGAGATGTCTGTGTTAAATGTGGGAGGAGACTGGACCACTAAGTGAGATGTCTGTGTTAAATGTGGGAGGAGACTGGATCACTAAGTGAGATGTCTGTGTTAAATGTGGGAGGAGACTGGATCACTAAGTGAGATATCTGTGTTAAATGTGGGAGGAGACTGGACCACTAAGTGAGATATCTGTGTTAAATGTGGGAGGAGACTGGATCACTAAGTGAGATGTCTGTGTTAAATGTGGGAGGAGACTGGATCACTAAGGGAGATATCTGTGTTAAATGTGGGAGGAGACTGGATCACTAAGTGAGATATCACACTAAGTGAGATATCTGTGTTAAATGTGGGAGGAGACTGGACCACTAAGTGAGATGTCTGTGTTAAATGTGGGAGGAGACTGGATCACTAAGTGAGATATCTGTGTTAAATGTGGGAGGAGACTGGAGTGAGATATCTGGTTAAATGTGGGAGGAGACATCACTAAGTGAGATGTCTGTGTTAAATGTGGGAGGAGACTGGATCACTAAGGGAGATGTCTGTGTTAAATGTGGGAGGAGACTGGATCACTAAGTGAGATGTCTGTGTTAAATGTGGGAGGAGACTGGATCACTAAGTGAGATGTCTGTGTTAAATGTGGGAGGAGACTGGATCACTAAGGGAGATATCTGTGTTAAATGTGGGAGGAGACTGGATCACTAAGTGAGATGTCTGTGTTAAATGTGGGAGGAGACTGGATCACTAAGTGAGATATCTGTGTTAAATGTGGGAGGAGACTGGATCACTAAGTGAGATGTCTGTGTTAAATGTGGGAGGAGACTGTATCACTAAGTGAGATATCTGTGTTAAATGTGGGAGGAGACTGGATCACTAAGTGAGATATCTGTGTTAAATGTGGGAGGAGACTGGATCACTAAGTGAGATGTCTGTGTTAAATGTGGGAGGAGACTGGATCACTAAGTGAGATGTCTGTGTTAAATGTGGGAGGAGACTGGATCACTAAGTGAGATGTCTGTGTTAAATGTGGGAGGAGACTGGATCACTAAGTGAGATGTCTGTGTTAAATGTGGGAGGAGACTGGATCACTAAGTGAGATGTCTGTGTTAAATGTGGGAGGAGACTGGACCACTAAGGGAGATATCTGTGTTAAATGTGGGAGGAGACTGGATCACTAAGTGAGATGTCTGTGTTAAATGTGGGAGGAGACTGGACCACTAAGTAAGATGTCTGTGTTAAATGTGGGAGGAGACTGGACCACTAAGTAAGATGTCTGTGTTAAATGTGGGAGGAGACTGGATCACTAAGTGAGATGTCTGTGTTAAATGTGGGAGGAGACTGGACCACTAAGTGAGATGTCTGTGTTAAATGTGGGAGGAGACTGGATCACTAAGTGAGATGTCTGTGTTAAATGTGGGAGGAGACTGGACCACTAAGTAAGATGTCTGTGTTAAATGTGGGAGGAGACTGGATCACTAAGTGAGATGTCTGTGTTAAATGTGGGAGGAGACTGGATCACTAAGTGAGATGTCTGTGTTAAATGTGGGAGGAGACTGGACCACTAAGTGAGATGTCTGTGTTAAATGTGGGAGGAGACTGGACCACTAAGTGAGATGTCTGTGTTAAATGTGGGAGGAGACTGGATCACTAAGTGAGATGTCTGTGTTAAATGTGGGAGGAGACTGGATCACTAAGTGAGATGTCTGTGTTAAATGTGGGAGGAGACTGGACCACTAAGTGAGATGTCTGTGTTAAATGTGGGAGGAGACTGGACCACTAAGTGAGATGTCTGTGTTAAATGTGGGAGGAGACTGGACCACTAAGTAAGATGTCTGTGTTAAATGTGGGAGGAGACTGGACCACTAAGTAAGATGTCTGTGTTAAATGTGGGAGGAGACTGGATCACTAAGTGAGATGTCTGTGTTAAATGTGGGAGGAGACTGGACCACTAAGGGAGATATATGTGTGCAATGGAAGTGTTCCTTGACCACAAAGCCAAAAACCTATATCTTTGATAGCAGTAACCAGAATTCTCTACATGCCTATGATATGTGTATCATACGTTATGTACGTGTGTACACTGTGCTGAACTTTTCCCCCTGCATCTCTTTCTGTCCAGGTCCATTGGCTGTATAATGTATGAGCTGTGTACGCTGGAGCACGCATTCTCTGGCCAGGGTCTCATGCATATTATGTACAAAATTGTCGATAAAGATCCACCTGAGCTTCCATCCAAATACTCTAATGAACTCAATGAGATAATCAAGAAGTAAGTGAGAATACAGTTTACTGTGTGCAGTTATTTGTGTTATGTGTAAACTGAAATGAGAAACAGAATGAGAAAAAAGAGGAAATCCAAGGGAAACGTTAAGAAGAACTTTATTACCAGAGGCAAAAAACGCTGGGCTGAACTCAAGGTCAGAAATTGCAAAAGTTGCATGCAGTAGAGTGGCGTGGAAGGTTTAATGCTAGAGCCCTATGTGATGCCTGACTAATGTAATGTCCTAAGATATATATATATATATATACACACACACACACACACACTGAAATAGGAAACAAACAGTCTAAGAAAAAAGAGGATGTCCGTAACATCTAACTACCTATCCAAAAGTTTATGTACAGTAGAGTGATAATCTTTGAGTCTAAAGACATTTACTAATAAAACTGTCTGCAGAAGGGTTAAAGCAATAACTGAATTGGAATGGATCACCATTACTGAAGACTTTCAGAGAAGATGCTAAGAAATGTATGCCATGCACTGAGCAATCCATAAAACATGGTTAGTTGGCTGGCACCAAAAGAGTTAACTGTCATTCTTATTGTTGTTCTTAATTCTTGTTCTTCATTACTCTTCTTAATTATTGTTCTTAACTACTTCTGTCAGAATCTTGGTGAAAGATCCAGACCTGAGACCATCAGCGGCAGAAGTGCTGAAATTTCCCTACATAGCGAGACATAGAGCAGTGAGTGTTGGCTTCCAGTGTGTCATTAACCGTGCTGTATATAGATTATATAAGTATCATTAACATATCTCCGTGTGTGGATCCTGGGGCCCCAGTGTGGGGAACACAAGAATGGACCCACTGTCTTCCCAACAAGCATGTCATAAGAGTCAACTAATTGTGGCTTCCTTCAAATTCGGAGTGCATCTGCCCGAAAGGCAAGAAACCAACAGTCTGCATACAGATATGTCATATCTGTAAAATGGATCTGCACACAACAGTCAGGTTCTGGAATAAGACTAACATCCAGACGGAAATGAACAGCCAAAACTTTCTTCTGGAGTTTACAGCCGGTGAATGCAAAGAAGAATTTTAACATGTCATGAGTATGCAGATGTCATTATAGATGGGATGGTGTAGATGGGATGATATAAATGAGATGGTATAGATGGGATGGTATAGATGGGATGGTATAGATGGGATGGTATAGATGGGATGGTGTAGATGGGATGGTATAGATGGGATGGTGTAGATGGGATGGTATAGATGGGATGGTGTAGATGGGATGGTATAGATGGGATGGTATAGATGAGATGGTGTAAATGGGATGGTGTAGATGGGATTGTGTAGATGGGATGGTGTAGATGGGATGGTATAGATGGGATGGTGTAGATGGGATGGTATAGATGGGATGGTATAGATGGGATGGTGTAGATGGGATGATATAAATGAGATGGTATAGATGGGATGGTATAGATGGGATGGTATAGATGGGATGGTATAGATGGGATGGTGTAGATGGGATGGTGTAGATGGGATGATATAGATGGGATAGTATAGATGGGATGGTGTAGATGGGATGGTGTAGATGGGATGGTGTAGATGGGATAGTATAGATGGGATGGTGTAGATGAGATGATATAGATGGGATGGTGTAGATGGGATAGTATAGATGGGATGGTGTAGATGGGATAGTATAGATGGGATGGTGTAGATGGGATGGTATAGATGGGATGGTGTAGATGGGATGGTATAGATGGGATGGTATAGATGGGATGGTATAGATGGGATGGTGTAGATGGGATGGTATAGATGGGATGGTGTAGATGGGATAGTATAGATGGGATTGTGTAGATGGGATAGTATAGATGGGATGGTGTAGATGGTATAGTATAGATGGGATGGTGTAGATGGGATGGTGTAGATGGGATGGTGTAGATGGGATGGTGTAGATGGGATGGTATAGATGGGATGATATAGATGGGATGGTGTAGATGGGATGGTATAGATGGGATTGTATAGATGGGATGGTATAGATGGGATGGTGTAGATGTGATGGTATAGATGGGATGGTGTAGATGGGATGGTGTAGATGGGATGGTGTAGATGGGATGGTGTAGATGGGATGGTGTAGATGGGATGCACACAGGGGGCTGAACCACATTTGGTGGTGCAACAGGATGCGGGATTATGCTGATCAGGACCTGCCTGTACCTCTCTTTGGTTATCCTAGAAAGAGATCCCCACCTGAGAGACTGGCCAACCTAGATAGGATCAATATTTCCATCGAAGTCTGGGTGCATCTGCCTAATGGGGCAAGGAACCAACAGTCTGCACACAAATAAACCAGATCAGTGAGATGTATGCATGCTAGTCCTGAAGAGAACAATGTCATTACCATGTCAATTAGTGTCATCAACTATTGTCATCGTATGTATGTAGGTGTCATTTATTATGTTATCCTTATTGATGTTGAGGCAATTATATTGGCACAATTGTGTAAGAACAGTTATATTGGCGTGGTGGTTTATGACAGTTATGTTGGCAAAGTGGTTTATGACAGTTAGTTGGCACAGTGGTTTATGACAGTTATGTTGGCACAGTGGTTTATGACAGTTATGTTGGCACAGTGGTTTATGACAGTTATGTTGGCACAGTGGTTTATGACAGTTATGTTGGCACAGTGGTTTATGACAGTTATGTTGGCACAGTGGTTTATGACAGTTATGTTGGCACAGTGGTTTATGACAGTTATGTTGGCACAGTGGTTTATGACAGTTATGTTGGCACAGTGGTTTATGACAGTTATGTTGGCACAGTGGTTTATGACAGTTATGTTGGCACAGTGTTTTTATGACAGTTATGTTGGCACAGTGGTTTATGACAGTTATGTTGGCACAGTGGTTTATGACAGTTATGTTGGCACAGTGGTTTATGACAGTTATGTTGGCACAGTGGTTTATGACAGTTATGTTGGCACAGTGGTTTATGACAGTTATGTTGGCAGTGATATAGATAGGGTATTGTTTATATAATGATGTCAGTACAGTTTTACAAAGATTGTTTCCTATACAGAGACAGTCAAAGACAAAGGTTCTGGAAAGACAGAAATGAAAAGAGAATTTTTGAAAGATATAAAAAAAAGAGATAATTGAAATATTTTGGCCACTTTGAAAGACATAATACACTTTTAGAAACCATACTGGAATGAAAAGTCAAAGGCAAGAGGTAGCCAGTAATACATAAGGGAGGACAATATAAGTAGACTGTACAGCCAAGGCAAGAAACAGAGCATGTTGAATATCCATTGCAGCCAACCTTTATTATGGAGATGGCACCCGATTAATTTGAGTATACAAGTTGTGGTGTGCAGAGTTTCCTAACCCTTTTCCAACAGTTTGAGGACTTATGGTTTCAGAAAATGAAGGACACCCTGACGGATGAGTACAAGGCAAAACACAACATCAGCCCAGAGACGGCAGAAAGAGAAGCAACTGAGCTTGCCAGCCTTCTGTAAGTTCATCTGTCATCGCCATTGACATCATTGTGCCAAAATCATCATCCTTCTCACCATCACTATCCTCTTATAAGTCATTGTCCTCATCACCAACGCTTTCATAATTGTAACAGTGTTTTTATAGGCTCAGGAGCCCATTTAGGGAAGTGTGTGACAATAGATCACACCCCCTCCCCTCTCAACAGATATGTAAAGATAACTAATTAGGGGTGTACCTTTCAAAGTCCAAGTGCATCTGCATGCAAGACGAGTAACCAGCAGTCTGCATGTAAATAAGCCAGACCTGTAAAATGATGTGCAGCCAGAGCTTAAGTTCTGGACCAAGTTCAATCATCCCCCCCCCCCTCTTTTTCCCCAACAAACATGTCACAAAAGATAACTAAATAGGGTGTCACTTTCAAAGTCAGAGTACATCTACGTGCAAGGAAAGGAACCAGCAGTCTGCATGCAGATAATCCAGACCAGACCTGTAAAATGATGTGCAGGCAAAGCTTAAGTTCTGGACGAAGATGAGAAGTCTACGACCAACCAGAACTTTCCTCTGGTCAAACAATACTCAGAAGAAGAAGAAGAAGAAGATAATTGTCCCAAGTTGTTTTATAAAATTGAGAAGGTAAAGATTGTCTCCTATTTGATGTATTTGATACTGGTGTTGAGGAGTGAACGGTTAAACTTTTCACATATTCTAGTTCTAGATCATTACATATGAGGTGACTTCTGGTCCAATATGGTGGATAGACCTGCCTGATGCAGATGCTTTTAAAAGTTATTTGTTTTTAGTCAGGATTTGCTGTTGCAGTTTTCCCATTTCTGAACTTGAAGTTCAAAGGTTCCATCCCCCAGCTACTGAATTGAGTGTTTGGTGCGACACTGTGTGCTGTGGTTTAATTTGGAATAGTTTTCATTTCTGTTGTTCCCAAATGGTTTTATGCTATGAACTGCACTAAAAATGGCAGGTGGCTGATTACATTCAGAATGGGTTGGGCTAGCTTTCATTATTAAATAAAAGTACACTTAAAAGCAGATGGAGAAGGAACAAGAGAGGGAAGTTAAAAAGATATGGAAGATATAGGGATAGCTGCATGAAATAGCAAAGGACAGGATGACTTGGCATGAGTTGTCTGAGGGCCTATGCTTCATTGGGTGGGGGGAATACAGGACAGAAGAAGAAGAAATACCATTACAGTGAAAGCATAGCTAACTGTAAGAATATTTTTAATGTGTTTCTTTCTCTGTGTTTAGTAGAGAGAGCTCACATCTTGAAGATCTTCGTAACACACTTGACAAATCAGGAGAACAGAGTGCTTCAGAAACCAGAGGTCAGCTCCAGACCCCTACGGAGAAAAAACAAACACCCAGAGAGAGGATGCGGCAGAAAAAGATGCAAGAAGCAGACAAGAAGGCCCGGGAATTAAAGTAGGTTAATTAACATTATTACAAATAACCTTTTTCCTCTTCATATGGATTGTGGGGCCCCATTTTGAAGGGGGGGGGGGGGGCAGACTCACTGCTTTCCAACAGGCATGTCATTAAACAGTGACGGAATGGACAATTATCACGAACCTGCCCACATGAAGAGTTCCTTCCCTCCCACTCATGCTGCAGCGGGTCACACGCCGGATCCTTTATTGTGGGGGTGTCATGTATTCCTTATTTCCGACACTTTAACTGTGGTCTCTTTTCTCTTGTTGTCACTGCTCTCTTACATGATTATTTCCACGTTGTGCTACTTGCTGTATGGTTCGTGAGTAAGATATTTTTGTATTTCCCATTCCTTGGCAGTGGCTTCTGTTTTTTTTTTTTTTTTGGGGGGGGGGGGGGGGGGGGGGGGGCAACACTAAGGAACTTAGAAATACAAAAACATCCTAGTTTCGATACTCACAAACATTTGTGCCTTTGGCCCTTTCCCCTGCAGTACTTCTTACTTGTACTCAAGCGCCTGTGGCGCCTCAAAGAGACTCTTTCTTGACAACACAGCCTTCCACAGACATTATACACGGTGAGCGAAAGCCAAATGAAGGCTTCTCATAAAACCCTCACAACAAAGGACAGGCTGGTGCGACTGGTGACAGCATGAATTGGAGGGGAAAGAACTCTGGTCATGCAGGCAAGATTTTGAAAAGTTCCAAAGTTACTAAAAAGGAGTTTGCTGAAACGAGATGTGTTTGTGTGAAAGTGCAAATATCGCCACCAAGCTGTAAACTGCAACACAATGTCCGGTACTTAATTTATAACTTACCCCTGACGTCACGACAACGTCACGGGAGACATTCCCAATAAATTCTAGGGTGTTCAAGTTGTAGTTTCTCGCGATTTATCTACAGCCAAGTTTATGGTTAAGGTTTGGGTTAGGGTTAGCATTAGAAGACACTAGATTAACACTCAAAAAAAAAAAAACACCACACAACAGCACACTTGCACCCCTTGAAATAATGGACTGTCAGGTCAGCTGTGGATTTCCCACGGCGATTTCGTGTTTGGGGTACGTTATAAATGAAGAACCCAATGACCTGGCTGCCACATTTTGAGAACAGATGCAAAATAAGAACCCCTTTCCATTACCTGGTGTTGCCATATAATAGTGTAACAAAGGTGAGGATGTGATCTTATTTACATAAAGCACACACACTTTGGTTTTTGATGGGAGACATGGGAATGCACACTTAGTGCCAGCTCAGAGGTTAAAGGTTTGAATATTTCTTCAATTCCCCTAAGATCCCAGATTGAAGCAACCTAAAAATGACTACCAGGACAAAGTAAAGGAGCCTTTTTTCACGACTTCGGGCATATTGGGCACATAGTGCTTGACCTATATTTTAAATACTAGTCTGCACTTGATGGGTGGTTGAGTCAACATCAGGCCGGCTGCCTTCACTTCCCAGGACTTTATCCGGTACGTCTGGCTGGGTCTAACAGGAAGTGTCACTATGGTAACTCTCAAGAAGTCTGAGTGGCTGGTGTAACACTGAAAACATTACCCCCGTTCCCTCCTCCCCCACCCCCCGTGCCCCCTCTCCCCCATCATCCCCCCCCCCCTTTAGTTCCATTTAATAAAGGAAAGGATCGTTTTCCACAACTTCAGGTATATAGGGCATACAGGGCTAGACCTCAATTATGTGGCCCATGGTATATCTTTGACAGTCAGAGGGTCAACAAGTCCTAGCTAACTGAGAACCACTGCTTTATGTTATTCAGAAAACTAGCCAAGATTCAACTTGTGGAAAATTTTGCAAGGAAACAGAAGATAAAGACCAGTCTAGAAAAAGTTTCTGTGAGTACTTGTTTGTTTTTTGTGGGTTTTTTTATAGCCAACATTTTAGCAAGAAAATGTATGGGTTCTGGGGCCCCATTGTTGGTGCGGGGGGGGGGGGGGGGGGGGGGGGATAGACCCACTGTAAAACAGATGTGCATGCAATGATTATGTTCTGGAACAAGACTCAAGTCCAAAAGTGGACAAACAGTTAGAATTTCTCCCCAGATTTTACAGCCACTAAACATGGAGAAGAAGAAACAGAAGAACACGAAAGTAAGATGACAAGATGATTGTTTTCAACTTGTCAGTCCCAAGAGTTTTTACTTCAACTCCTTCTATGCCAAGAGATTCAACAGTGATGGGACAGTACTTGAAGTGATAATTCAAACACAAAGGGTTAAAATAACACCTGCTTGTGACAGAAGGCAGCAAGAACATCATTCTCTCCTAGGAACGACCAAGGAATATGTGGTGGGTTTTTTGTTACCAAAGGAGTGATCAGACTTTTTAATTGTTTTCACATTGTCCACAAAGAAAGAATTAATGTTACAATTTGGATTTTGTTAAACAAGATAGACTAGGCCGGGGAATTATATTTTAAATTCATGGGAAACTATTTTGTTTTCAGGATATACTGAGGGAGAAAACTAGAATGTCTTTGCACCAGAACCCACAGGGGCATAGAAATACAGGCAGACCTAAAAAGCATTTGGAGAAAGGAGTTGAAGAGTGAAGTTAAAAAGATAAGGAGAATATGGGTAGAGCTGCATTCGATATCAAAGGATTGGCTTGTTGGTTGAAGCCTGTGTTCCATTGGGGGACAGAAGGCAGAAGAAGAAGATTTTAAGCTAACAGTATCAAGCCATTAAAACAAGCTAAGGAGTTGACCTATGTAGTGTTCTCTGAAGATGGAGGGTTGGACAGAGAAATAGAAAACAAAATACAAACGGCCAACAACAGAAATTATCAAATAGTGCCACATTTGAGGCATCAGAATATCAACATGCACACAAAAGAGCAGCTGATAAATGTGCTATTCATACCAACTTTGTGTTATCAGTGCCAGACATGGATAATCCAGCAGACAAATAAAAACATAAATGCAAAATTACATCATATGAGATGAGATGTATAAAAAATGCGGCGGGGAAAAACAAGAAGAGACAGGGTCCGCCACTAAGAACAGTGGTAGGCACAGTACTGGTAAATGATTCACAAAACATTAAAGAATCAAATAGTTTTTTCATCTGGTCAGAATGGACCAAAACCAGCCAGCAGCTAGAGCGTAATATATGAGACCAACTGGCTACACTTAAAGAGACCGACCAAGAAAGAGATGGTGGAAGGAGTAAAAGAGACACTACAGAAACGCGATATCACATTAACACAAGCTACACAACTAGCAAAATACTGGAAACTACACCTAACAACTGTCTGTAACACTTTACAGCATAACCAGTGGGACAAAATAAGAAGAAGACTGAGTTCAACTACATGGGGGGGTAGTGGGATAATACTTAGGGAAGTTTATCAGCAAAGTGTATGACCACACCTTGAACACAGGTCAACTGCATGGTGTTCAGAATAAAAAAAACCACACTACAAAAGTTAGACAAGGTGCAAAATCAAGCGCTCAGTCATAACAGGTGGGATGAAATTAACACCTATAGCTGTGATGGAGAAGATGGTAATGACCCAAGTATTGACAGAAGCAGAGACACCAAGATACTAATACAAGCAGAAAAGTTTCTAAGCATGTCTGAACACCCTATGAAAGAAAGATTCCAAAATCTAGCAGTGGAGCGACTCATCCACCAGGCCCAACGACTCTGCTGACAAACCACTGATCTGCCTCCAACTGATAGCCCCTTAAATGCTAATCCAGATCAGACCCCCTGGAGAGACGATTGTTAGTTGTCAATTTAAATCCAAACAGAAGGGAAAGGAGTGTTTGACAAGGAAGAACAAATTAGTGGGCCACATATAACAGACTTGATGATGAGTTCTCACAGGATCTTTAGCTTTGTGTCTACAGATGGGTCAGCACAAAATGCAGGCAGAAATGCAGGAGCAGGATGTACATTGAGCATCCAGATAATACCAGATAGTAAAGTAAAGATCCCTTTTCACGCCTTTCGGTGCATCGGGCACATGGGAAGAGCACCCATAGTTTTACAGACCAATCGGCACTAGGTGGGTGATGTGGTCAGCATTACGCCAGCCGTCTTTACTTCCCCAGGTTTTCATTTTAGGCTGGGTCGACCTGCGATGCCCCGTACCATGATAAAAATCCACGCAGCCAGCAGTGGGTTTCGATCACAGTACTTTGGAATTACGAGTTGGACTCGTAACGCATAAGCCACGGACGCTGCCAAATAATTCCAGATATACAGCCAAAATACCAACAAGAAATCGCTGTCATAACTATGATTCAGAAGTTGAAGCCATCAGAATAGCAGCAGAGAATATGCTAAATATACAACATATTTAACAACCTGTGGTAATCTTGACAGATGCAAGTGCAGTACTTCAGGCACTTGAATCTGGAAAATTACCTGGTATACGGACACTACCCTCCAAACTAGGCACTGAAATCCTAGAAAACTAAAATTAAAGTGTTATTACTGGGCATGCCATGTTTCCGTTGTCATCGTCTTTGTCTACAGCCTTTTTTCTCACATACTGACAGTAATCTGTAATTCTGCAAGCTACGTTGGAAATTTAGTCTGGCATCTTATCATATCATTAGTTTTCCCATAAGTAGGTTCTCCCATCATTAGGTTTTCCCTTCATTAGGTTTTCCCATCATTAGGTTTTTCCATCATTTGGTTTTCCCATCACTAGGTTTTCTCTTGTTCCAGATAAAAATGTGATTACCTGTTTCTGTTTTCTACTTTTTTTTCTTGTAAAATAATGTGATCAGAATTCACGATATGTTTTGTTTTGTTTCATTATCCTCAGGTGCCTATTTGGAAAGGGGGTCATGGCGAGGGGGAAGTTTTGAAACAAGCACTGTCAGTCAGAAATGACAAACCACTGTCAGGGTCAGGTAGGGAGGTATTATTGTATTCGGCTGTTACAGGCAAAAACTCTTGTAAATTAGGAGATTTAATAGCCATAGACCACATGGCAGACCAATAAGAGGTTGGAGAAATAATATCCAATCAGATCTTTAAACACTTAGGGGTCATAACTAGAAAGAGAGGTCACAGAGGTGAATGGGGATGCATGGTATCTGCAGCAATGAACCTCTAGGGCTCAGAATGCTGAAGAAGAAGAAGTTGGTTGTTATATTTTAATTCCTTATGATTTGATAATAACAGTTTAATGACTGCTCCTTTGTATATTTATAGAAACAATTGTAGTCTATTTCAGTTTGATTGAATGGACTGGTTTTTTTTTTTTTTTTTTTTTTTTTTTTTTTTTTTTTTTTGTAAATTGTTTGTGTGGATGGGTGTGTGTTTTTTTTTTTTTAACATTCTTTTCTTCAAGCCACCAGTTTCCTTGCCATTGCCAAGTATTTGCATGTACATTCAGAAGAACAAACCATGCATAACCATATAGAGAGCTTATAAGAATTCACCATCTCTCTCTCTCTCTCTCTCTCTCTCTCTCTCTCTCTCTCTCTCTCTCTCTCTCTCTCTCTCTCTCTCTCTCTCTCTCTCTCTCTCTCTCTCTCTCTCTCTCTCTTGCCCTCCAGTTTTCTTGTTTCCTTCTCATGGCATGTCTGGTGAAGGGGGAAGTGTTCAATTCTGAGCCATTCAACTAGTTCTGTTTGTGAGTTCTGCATTTCTTTCACAGCTTTTTTGTTACCTTCTTCATCTGTCCTTGATCTTCTCATCGTTCATCTGTAAAACCATGTTTCTGCAGTTTGCACACAATTTCTCACTGATCTGCCGGCTATCCATGACTCACTTCCATACATCAGGATTGGCTGTATGTAGCATTTACCATCATCATCATCATCATCACAATCATCATCCCTATCATCATCATTTTAAGCCTCAATCCATTTTATGATGTTGGGTCACCAGTTGTTGTTGACTGTCTGATAAATTCCCTCCGCCTCTGTTGGCTAGGTGCAGTGAAACTGATGTTTGTCTATTTTAGACCTGTCCATTCAGCCAAATTCTTTATCCAGGTCTTTTTTGGTCTACCTCTTCTCATCTTCCCCTCTCCCAAACCCTGTAATATCATTCTGGAGAGGCTGGTAGATCCCAGTTACATGTCTGTACCGTCGCACTGTATGATCTGTACCACCGCACTGTATGACTTTTCACTGCTGTTAAAAGAGGTTCATAATTGCCAGTGTTTTGAAGGATGATAATGTGAATTTCATCATCTATTATATGATCTCTATATGATATCTTTGTGATGCCGGGTTCGATCCCAGCTGTGGGCCATGCGCCATGCGTTGGTTTCGACAGTGGTATCAAGAAAGCCGACCGTCCAAAAAGCAATAGCAAACTACTGGATGTAAATTTACCTAGAAAAAATCACACAACAGCCTTGGGGTTGGTTCTGCAACGTCCTGTAAAGGATACGCAACTAACCAGCTCTATATGATATACTAGTGTTCTTATAAAATAATCTTATTTTGAATGTTTGCATTTTCTGTTCAAATTCAGATGTTAAGGGCAATTATGAATCTTATCAAAATTATTGCCCATGTTTTTCAATAACCTATCAGTATTTATTTTCATGAAAAATTCTTGTCCTTGTCATTTTCTTATGCTGTTATGTTTCACATAAAAGTAAGTAAATTACCCTTTTCCATTCCTTAACGTGTATTGGGCGTATAGGGCTAGACCTATATTTTTGTAGATCAATCGGCACTCAGTGGGTGATGTGGTCACCATCAGGCTAGCCGCCTTTACTTCCCAGGACGCCACCTGGTACTTGGAGCCAAGGTCATTTTGGATAAAAGCCTGGTACCGTCAGGGCCCCAAACCACGACCTTCCGATCCACAAGCGAGCGTCTAGCCGCGACACCATGGCGGCTACCCGTAACACATAGAGCTCACAGTTTTCTTTTTTGTTTTGTTTTATTCTTTTCAGTTGTTTAAATATCATGTGTGAAATCCAGTTGGACATCAGCCAGTAAAATAACAGCATGATGTGGTGCCATAAGTATAACTGAAACTTTCTAGGATAAGACTTCATCATTAGGTGCCTTGCCGACTGGCGTGGGCGATTATGCCTCTCCATAATCTGCATGCAATCTCCATGCAACAAGACTGTCAAGCATCTTCTCTCGTTGTAGGATAAGACTAGCTGTCTAAAAAAAAAACGTTGAATCTGGCTAATTGAAATAAGCACCTTTGGCATCTCTCGTCAGTGTTCAATGTAATCTTTCTTTTGGACATCCTCGTTTCCTCAGTCCATTTGTGTCTCATTTCAGTGCCTATTTAGTGGTTCTATGCTCATTGATGCTCATGAATTGTTGTTTTCCAGGTGACCATGAATCTGACAGTTCTGAAGGGGAGAATACCACAGTTCTACAAACAGTCATCAGACGGAACTCAGAAAGAGGTGCTGGAGAAAGATACAGAGGTGCCGGTGCTGGACGACTGACACGTTCTTTTTCCCAGGGGACAGCGAGAACAGATGGGGACAAGCCTGCAGCCAGGATGGTCAAGACCATTGGGGGAATGTACCCTGATGACAGGCAGATCACACCAATGAGAGACAAGATGATCTATGACCGCGAGCATTCTTCACTGGATTTCAAAGATGGTAAGGCTTTGGAAATGTTGCAGACTGAAATAATTCAAAAGAAACGTTAAATCTTCTTCTTCTTCTTTGCATTTACCAGCTGTAAACTCCAGCGGAAAGTTCTGGTTGTTTGTCCACTTCTGGATTGCAGTCCTGTTTTAGAATCTGAGTGTTGCGTGTGCATCCGTTTGACAGATCTGATTCTTTTGTGTGCAGTTGATTCCTTGCCTCTCAGGCAGATGTACTCCGACTTTGAAGGAAGCTCCCAATTAGTTAACTCTTACGACTTGCTTTTGGGTCGGCAGGGGGTGTATTCTTGTTTTCCCTAAAATAGGGTCCCAGAACCCACATGGGGAAAAAAACATTAAATGTCTTCAAAGCAATGTTGCTCTGTTGTAATTTTGAACAAAGAAGACACAAACAGTAGATTACACAATTGCCTGATATGTTTTCTGCTTCTCCTCCAGGGCATACTACAGTAACATTTTGTCTCCTCAAGGGCTTACTACAGTAACAATTTGTCTCCTCAGGAGCATACTACAGTAACAATTTGTCTCCTCAGGGGCATACTACAGTAACAATTTGTCTCCTCAAGGGCATACTACAGTAACAACTTGTCTCCCCAGGGGCATACTACAGTAACAATTTGTCTCCTCAGGGGCATACTACAGTAACAATGTCTCCTCAGGGGCATACTACAGTAACAATTTGTCTCCTCAGGGGCATACTACAGTAACAATTTGTCTCCTCAAGGGCATACTACAGTAACAACTTGTCTCCTCAGGGGCATACTACAGTAACAATTTGTCTCCTCAGGGGCATACTACAGTAACAATTTGTCTCCTCAGGGGCATACTACAGTAACAATTTGTCTCCCCAGGGGCATACTACAGTAATAACTTGTCTCCTCAGGGACCTACAACAGTAATAATTTGTCTCCTCAGGGACAAACAACAGTAATAATTTGTCTCCTCAGGGGCATACTACAGTAACAATATGTCTCCTCAGGGGCATACTACAGTAACAATATGTCTCCTCAGGGACATACAACAGTAACAATTTGTTTCCTCAGGGGCACACTACAGTAACAACATGTCTTTTCAGGGGCATACTACAGTAACAATTTGTCTCCCTAGTGGCATTATACAGTAACAATTTGTCTCCCTAGTGGCATACTACAGTAACAATTTGTCTCCCTAGTGGCATACTACAGTAACAATTTGTCTCCCTAGTGGTATACTACAATAACAATTTGTCACTTCAGGGGCATACTACAGTAACAATTTGTCTCCTCAGGGGCATACTACAGTAACAATTTGTCTCCTCAGTCGCATACTACAATAACAATTTGTTTTCTCAGGGGCATACTATAGTAACAATTTGTCTTCTCAATGGCATACTACAGTAACAATTTGTATCCCCAGGGGCATACTACAGTAACAATTTGTCTTCTCAGGGGCATACTACAGTAACAGTTAAATAAAACGAAGCAAGCACATTAATTCTTAACCATTAAAATACAAAATTGACTATTTAGTTTTTTGGTCATTTTTTTTTTTTTTTAATGATTGCTGTAGTAAGCTCCTGATCAGATAAATGTAAAAAAAAAAAATTTGCCATGCAGTAAATTGTGCAAACTTTGTCTTTTTTAAAATTATTTCTTAGTTTAAATAATTTCAAAATAATTTTTAAGTGCAAAATGAAATTATTAAAGATGAAATCGTTTCATCTTGTTCGAAATGTGACATGATTTTTTTTTTTTAACTTAATTATTTTAACTTTGTTTCTAGGAATACCAGATACCCCAGAGGAGGCGAACACATTTTATGAGCAGTTTGATGACTTTGATGGGGACGATGTGATAGACACTGAGGACACACTCAAGCATGCTGAAGAGGAGCTGATCCATCACTTGGAGGCCGCACTCAGCAAATATGACAATGAAGGTAGGGGACTTAACTTGTTCAGTAACTTGTGACTCATTATACATTTTCCTTGTGTGGGTTCCACAGCCTCATTTTTTCTTGGGGGATGGGAGACAGACCTACTACCCCCCTCCCCCTTTCCACCCTCACCCAGCTACCCTTACCTACCACCTCCACCCTTACCCCCCATCCTCACCCCCACCATCACCCCCCACCCTCACCCCTCAACCTCACCTCCCACCCTCACCCCTCAACCTCACCTCCCACCCTCACCCCACCCTCAGCCCCCCACCCTCAGCCCCCACCCTCACCTCCCACTCTCACCCCTCAACCTCACCTCCCACCCTCACCCCACCCTCACCCCCCACCCTCACCCCCCACCCTCACCCCCACCCTCACCTCCCACCCTCACCCCCCACTCTCACCCCCACCCTCACCTCCCACCCTCACCCCCCACCCTCACCTCCTACCTTCACCCTCACCCCCACCCTCACCCCCCACTCTCACCCCCACCCTCACCCCCACCCTCACCCCCCACCCTCATACCCCACCCTCACCCCCACCCTCACCCCCCCCCACCCTCACCCCACCCTCACCCCCCACCCTCACCTCCTACCTTCAACCTCACCCCCACCCTCAACCCACCCCCCACCCTCACCTCCCACCTTCACCCTCACCCCGACCCTCATACCCCACCCTCATACCCCACCCTCACACCTCACCCCCAGCAAGAATGTCATAAAAGTCGACTAGTTATGGTTGTTTCCTTCAAAAACAGAGTGCATCTGCAAGAGAGGTAAGGAACCAACAGTCTGCTTGGAAATAAGGCAGATCTGTAAAACGGATTTACATGACCAAAGTCCAGAAGTGGATGAACAGCTAGAACTTTCTGCCAGAAAGATATTATTTACTAGAAACTCTAAACGGAAGCCGAAAACAAATCTCAGGGTACAGTTTCAGGAAAAATATGCATAGACAGACATCCCTAAAGGTGAAAACAAAACATTGAAGATGCTTTATCTATAAAAGCATATAGGGCTGGAGAATTTGCTACAGAAAGAGATGTTTAGGTGTGCCGTGACGACAGTGGCGTTCTGAACAGGACCTACTGATTGATGATGATGATGATGATGATGATGACGACGTTGATCAGAATCGACCAAATTTGAGGACTTTTTTTTTCATTTTTCCCTTTTAATTGAAATGATTGCTACTACACAAGAAATGTTGAATACATACAGGTCAGACTGCTTAGACATCCAAATGTCTTCCTTACAGCAAAACACCATATGATGAATAGCATCTTTATCCCTACTTTATGTTATCAGTGCCAAACATGGACAATGAATAGGGCACTAAAACAGAAAATAACTACATGTGAAATGCGTTGACTCCATAAGGTCACTATCCACACAAGAAGAGACCAGCGTTAGAGAGAAAGTTGGAATAAGACCATGTCTGGATTATATCGACAGGCAAAGAATGAAATGATTCAGCCATCTAGTGAGAATTCAGCCAGAATTTGTACAGCAGAACATCTGGGAAGAAGGCGAGGGGAAGACCAAGAAAGAGATGAATAGAAGGTGTAGCTGAAACCTGCAAAAAGATGAACAAAACCATCGCCCAAGCCAGCCGAGAAGCGCAACACAAATACAGAAAACCATAACAGTGGGCTACAACCTGGTATCAGTGAGACAACAAAAGAAGAAAGATTAAAGTGATTTAAAATTTGAAAATGAAACTATAATGTTGTTTCTCCTCCTAATTAGAATCAACTGTGTTTCACGATGATGTGGCCATTGATACTTATGGACCATTATCCAGGGAGATCAAAATCACAAACATTCGAGCGTAAGTTTGTTTCAGTTATGCTCACGGTCATTTTTAACACATTAATGTTTGACTTCATAAATGCCCTGATTTAGACTCAGTATCTTCTAGTCTAGTCTTTTTGCAAAGGTTTTATTTTGATTAAATGTCGCTTTCATGTATCCTATTCAATGAGTATGATCCGGAGGGTTCAGGCAGGTTCGGTGAGAAGACAATGGCTTGAATCATTACAGAAGTCCACTGTACGTGGAGTCACCTTTATTTTTGTTCCAGGGCACGCAGGCGTCGATGGAAATGAAAGAGCTGATAGGTTGGCTGGATCCGCTATCACTACTGACGGTCAGCCTGCGGATCATGCTGATATTATTAATGCCCTCAGAGAGAAATGGGAAGGATAGAGGACTTTGGGGGGGGCAGTGAATCCACATCAGTCGCCAGAATGGCAGACTTGGGAATTAAGATCGGCACAGCAAAAAACGAGACGCACACCAGAAGACTTGTTAATCAACTTAGAACTGATACTATTAGCCATCGGACGTTGGGGTTCATACTGAGGGGAGGATCTGAGCACCTATGGACATATCCGGAGTGCAATGATGATACCCCAACTAACTAACTAACTAACTAACTGATTTCAAATTTTCTGTTTTTCTCTCTTTTTCTGTTTTTAACCCTTCAAAGGATTATATATACACACTGTCATATGATTGTTTTTATGGTTCAAGTTTTGTTACATAATAAGGTAAACATATAAAAATTCAATCCTACATGTGATCACCTGTTGTGACATGCCTGGTAAGGTGCAATGTTGATCACCTGTTGTAACATGCCTGGTAAGGTGCAATGTTGGTCACCTGTTGTAACATGCCTGGTAAGGTGCAATGTTGGTCACCTGTTGTAACATGCCTGGTAAGGTGCAATGTTGGTCACCTGTTGTAACATGCCTGGTAAGGTGCAATGTTGGTCACCTGTTGTAACATGCCTGGTAAGGTGCAGTGTTACTTACTATGCTTCTCTTCCTCTAGAGCAGTGGCTCTCAACTTTCCTAGTGCCAGGACCCTTTAATACAGTTCCCTCATGTTGTGGCGACTCCCCAACAATAATTTTTCTTCATAATTCAGTGAATATGTGTTTTCTGATGGTGGCAGGTAACCCTTATGAAAGTGTTGTGTGACCCAGAAAAGGGTTGTGACCCGCAGGTTGACAACCGCTGCTCTAGAGGTCCTGGTGATACAGTGAGCTTAAGTTTCTGGTTTGTAAATGATCAGTTTAGGTCCACCAAGGTTTGAAATTTGGGTACAGATCTTTTTTTTTTTTTTTTTTTTTTTGGACTACCTTTTCTATGACAGATCTTTCTGGTTATCATGATGTTTCTCAATGCTTCTTCTTCTTCTTCTTCTTCTTCTTCTTCTTCTTCTTCTTCTTCTTCTTCTTCTTCTTCTTCTTCTTCTTCTTCTTCTTCTTCTTCTTCTTCTTCTTCTTCTTCTTTTTATATTTCTTCTTCTTCTTCTTTTTATATTTCTTCTTCTTCTTTTTTTTCTATTTCTTCTTCTCCTTCTCCTTCTTCTTCTTCTTCTTCTTCTTCTTCTTCTTCTTCTTCTTCTTCTGCTTAATTTTCTTCTTCTTCTTCTTCTTCTGGACTCAGATAACATGGACAATGCTAATAATGCATATAATGAGGTTTGAGGTTTGAACAACGGGTCAACATCATGGCACACGGGTGTAACCCATAAGTGCTCTGTTCTTCTTCTAAATCAAGTCAGAGTTTAAATAAGCTCAGCACAGTGCACTGGCTCTGTAGCACCAGCGAGGATCCTGAAATACTTTGGGTAGATTCTGTATTCAAAATAATGCTCTGGCAGCGAAGTTAGGCTACTCTTTTCTATTTCTGCCAAGGGATTTTGTACGTGCGCAACAATGCACACGGGCATCCAATCTCACTACCCAGAGACCAGGGGGAATTACTATAAGTCTAATCCCACGTGAAAAAAAAAAATCCCAGCCCTTACCAGGGATTAAACCCGAAACCTCTATCACTCTAGATGGAAACCATGCCTTGAGACCACAGCAGCCGCCGAATGCATTTAATAAAACTGCCATTCTTAAATAACTGTCAGAAATTACTTTTTATTATGTCAATGAGAGAAGAAACTTGGCATCCACTTCCAGAGAGTGTTTGTAATTAAATAGGCTGAAATATTAACAGAAGATCCCATCTGAAGTATGCTGTTGTTCTAACTGCCAATGGAAAGTCTACCACATGCTCGTGATATTTGCTGAGGTATTTGGTTTGAATCCACATTAAGTTTTTGTTTTTTTTTAAACAACCTTATCTGCCAGGTTCACCCAGCCCTAAATGGGTATCAGGTAAAGTCCTGGAAAGTAAAGGTGGCCTGCAACATTACCCACCAAGTGCCGATTAATCTATAAAACTGTAAAAATCTGGCGTCAGATGCTTGATGTGACACTAGCATAAAAAGGGTCATTTACTTACTTTATATAATATTTGTTTTGATTCACAGAGAGTGCAAGAAAACTTTAGGACAAGATGTGTTTGACAAGGCCTACAGTTATCTCAAGGAAGCTCGCAGATCAGAGAAAAGGAAAGATAAGAGTGAAAAAGAGATCATGGATGGACTGCGGCAGTATGTGAAGAATCCGTCTGACTGTTTCCTCGTTGACCAGCTTCTGTTTCTGGAAGAACAAGCCAGATTGAGCTAGTGCTGCTGTATCATTTCACGTCTGCTTTTAGTGTGACTGTTAAGAAACACAGGGATATTATTGTTTTTTGTTGTGAAATTTCTGTGTTGTTTGGTTTAATAAATTGTGAATTTGCTGTAGAGGAAGGTACTATAACAATCTGTTTGTTGATAGACTAATAATTGTTTTACACAGAAAATGAGTAAGTAACGAAAGTATTGAAATGTTTTAGTTGCTACACTAGTAATTGATTCACTCCAAAAATAGTGTTACCAACTCTTTGAGTCCCAGGGGGTTTAGCATCACAGGCCCAATGGGTAATAAAGAGAGACTAAAATCGACACATCATGCATTCATTGGGCTTCTAGGTAAGACCTATGAACGTATGATGGGTTCCCTGGGACTCAAAGAGTTAATGAAAGTATTGAAGGTGTTTTGTTGATACACTGATAATTGTTTCTCACAGAAAATAATGGTCCTAATGAAAGTGTTGAAGATGTTTTTTTTTTTATTTTTTACATTGCTGGCTTATTGGCTCTTTTGTGTTTCTTACAGTAGATTAGGCTTAAGCAATGTGAATAAATTATTTTTTTTTAGAGCTATACTTCAATCATTTGAACAAATGATGCTTATTTTTAGAGCTATACTTCAATCATTTGAACAAATGATGCTTATTTTTAGAGCTATACTTCAATCATTTGAACAAATGATGCTTATTTTTAGAGCTATACTTCAATCATTTGAACAAATGATGCTTATTTTTAGAGCTATACTCACTTGAATAATGTCAACAAATAAAATATATTTTAGAGTATATTAGATCTAAGTGGTGTGACTAAATCAAACTATCTATAGTATATTTGGCTTGAGTAATGTTAAAACACATTTTTTTTTAATAGAGAAGATTTGATTTAAGTAATATTTTAGGCTTCAGTAATGTTAAAACATGAAAATTTTTTTTTTTTTTTAAACAATTTGTAGAGTAGATTAAAGTAATTTTTATAGGCTTCAGTAATGTTTAAACATGAATATGAATAAATAAAACGTTTTAATATTTTAGAGTAGATTGTAGTACAATAGTTTGCTTTATCATAATTTTTAAAATAAATTTTTTTAAAATTTATTACAATAAAGGAGTAGCCATCTGTGTTGCGAACACACTTCGTAATGCCGGGGTGCCGGGTTCGACCCCAGCTGCGGTCGGTTTGTCCTGTCTTGCTTTTGACAGTGGTACCGAGAGCTGAGCATTCAGTAGGCAGTGGCAAACTACTGAACGTAAAATGTGTGTAGGAAAACCACAACAGTCAAAAGAATATGGGGGTTGGTTCTGCAATGTCCTGTAAAGGATACGCAGCTAACTAAAGTAAGGATATTTTTTTCAAACCTTCAGGTGTATTGGGAAAATAGAATTTTATTGACCAAATGTCACTCTTTGGCTGATGAGGTCAACATCCACTGGGTGCCTTTATTTCCGAGACTCAACCTGTGACCCACTCAAGGCTGGGTCAACCTGGGAGCCAAACAAATGTCTGGTTTGTCAGACCTGAACCTATGATCTTCGAATCTGCAGATGAGCATCTAGCGGCTGCACCACAATGGCTGCCTTTCGTTTGTTAACTTGCATATTAAACAAAAATTGAAGAATAATTCATTTATTAACATGTTTTAACCAGACAGGTTTAGCTGAAGTTTCTCAACTTCCAACATTGCTTTGTTATCATGAATTTAAAAAAATGTGGATGGGTTAAAATTTTCTATTGTTTTTATATTTTTTATATTCCGCTGCGTGACATTTGCTAATGATTGTTAATGAGTTATGTGTACAAAGATTCATCTGTTTATGAGATGAACAGGCAAAACCTATGCAGGGTGAATCAAATATGTAACTATAAAAGGAATAAAACAATTTTAATTGCCACTTCTGGATGCAGTTGATGTTTGTAGTAACTGCCATGTTTGTCACATTTGTTCCTCATTCACCGCTCTTCCAGAAATTTGTACAGTTTTGCCGTCAACTATGGATGCACTGTTTAATGTCTTAGCTTAGCTGTTGGTGATTAAGTGTGTTTCTGTGTTTTGTTAATTTGTAATATTTTTGTAATGTTTTTTTTTTTGTTTTAGCAGTTTTCATGTATAATTTGTAATGCATCACATAGTTGTATTAATGTAATATTGTCAGTCATTTTGTGGGGGGGGGGGGTGGGGGGGGGGGGGGGGGGGGGCGCAGGTCATATGTATCATCAGTTTGTAATGTTATTTTTACTATAAAACTTTCAGAACAATTTTTTTTATGGGGGGGGGGGGGGGGGAGATATAGAGATGATGGTGATGAGGGTGGTGGTGATGATGATGATGATAAGGATGGTGATGATGATGATGATAAGGATGGTGATGATGATGATGATAAGGATGGTGGTGGTGATAATGATGATGATGATAAGGGTGGTGATGATGATAAGTATGGTGGTGATGATGATGATGATAATAAGGATGGTGATGGTGGTGGTGATGATGATGATAAGGATGGTGATGGTGGTGGTGATGATGATGATGATAAGGATGGTGATGATGATGATGATAAGAAGGATGGTGATGGTGGTGGTGATGATGATGATATGGATGGTGATGGTGGTGGTGATGATGATGATGATGATAAGGATGGTGGTGGTGATGATGATGATGATAAGGACGGTGATGGTGGTGGTAATGATGATGATGATGATAAGGATGGTGATGGTGGTGGTGATGATGATGATGATAAGCATGGTGATGGTGGTGATGATGATAAGGATGGGGATGGTGGTGGTGATGATGATGATGATAAGGATGGTGATGGTGATGATGATGATGATAAGGATGGTGATGGCGGTGGTGGTGATGATGATGATGATAAGGATGGTGATGATGATGATGATGACGATAAGGATGGTGCTGGTGGTGGCAATGATGATGATGATAAGGATGGTGATGGTGGTGGTGATGATGATGATGATGTTGATAAGGATGGTGATGGCGGTGGTGGTAATGATGATGATAAGGATGGTGATGGTGGTGGTAATGATGATGATGATGATAAGGATGGTGATGGTGGTGGTGATGATGATGATGATAAGGATGGTGATGGTGGTGATGATGATGATGATGATAAGGATGGTGGTGGTGATGATGATGATAAGGATGCTGGTGGCGGTGGTGATGATGATGATAAGGATGGTGGTGGCGGTGGTGATGATGATGATGAGGATGGTGATGGTGGTGGTGATGATGATGATGATAAGGATGGTGATGGTGGTGGTGATGATGATAAGGATGGTGATGGTGGTGGTGATGATGATGATGATGATGATGAGGATGGTGATGGCGGTGGTGGTGATGATGATAAGAATGGTGATGGCGGTGGTGGTGATGATGATGATAAGGATGTTGATGATGATGATGATGATAAGGATGGTGATGGTGGTGGTGATGATGATGATGATAAGGATGGTGATAGCGGTGGTGATGATGATGATGATAAGAATGGTGATGGTGGTGGTGACAATGATGATGATAAGAATGGTGATGGTGGTGGTGATGATGATGATGATAAAAATGGTGATGGTGGTGGTGATGATGATGATGATAAGGATGGTGATAGCGGTGGTGATGATGATGTTAAGGATGGTGATGATGATGATAAGGATGGTGGTGGTGATGCTGATGATGATAAGGATTGTGATGGTGGTGGTGATGATGATGATGATAAGAATGGTGATGGTGGTGGTGATGATGATGATAAGGATTGTGATGGTGGTGGTGATGATGATAAGAATGGTGATGGTGGTGGTGATGCTGATGATGATAAGGATTGTGATGGTGGTGGTGATGATGATGATGATAAGAATGGTGATGGTGGTGGTGATGATGATGATAAGAATGGTGATGGTGGTGGTGATGATGATAAGAATGGTGATGGTGGTGGGGATGATGATGATGATAAGGATGGTGTTAGCGGTGGTGATGATGATGTTAAGGATGGTGATGATGATAAGGATGGTGATGGTGGTGGTAATGATGATGATGATGATAAGGATGGTGGTGGTGATGATGATGATGATGATAAGGATTGTGATGGTGGTGGTGATGATGATGATGATGATAAGGATGGTGGTGGTGATGATGATGATGATAAGGATGGTGATGGCGGTTGGGATGATGATGATAAGGATGGTGGTGGTGATGATGATGATGATAGGAATGGTGATGGTGGTGGTGATGATGATAAGAATGGTGATGGTGGTGGTGATGATGATGATGATAAGAATGGTGATGGTGGTGGTGATGATGATGATGATAAGGATGGTGATAGCGGTGGTGATGATGATGTTAAGGATGGTGATGATGATGATAAGGATGGTGGTGGTGATGCTGATGATGATAAGGACTGTGATGGTGGTGGTGATGATGATGATGATAAGGATGGTGATGGCGGTGGTGATGATGATGATGATAAGAATGGTGATGGTGGTGGTGATGATGATGATGATAAGAATGGTGATGGTGGTGGTGATGATGATGATGATAAGAATGGTGATGGTGGTGGTGATGATGATGATGATAAGAATGGTGATGGTGGTGGTGATGATGATGATGATAAGAATGGTGATGGTGGTGGTGATGATGATAAGAATGGTGATGGTGATGATGATGATGATAAGGATGGTGATAGCGGTGGTGATGATGATGTTAAGGATGGTGATGATGATGATAAGGATGGTGATGGTGGTGGTAATGATGATGATGATGATAAGGATGGTGGTGGTGATGATGATGATGATGATAAGGATTGTGATGGTGGTGGTGATGATGATGATGATAAGGATGGTGATGGCGGTGGTGATGATGATAAGAATGGTGATGGTGGTGGTGATGATGATGATGATAAGAATGGTGATGGTGGTGGTGATGATGATGATGATAAGAATGGTGATGGTGGTGGTGATGATGATGATGATAAGAATGGTGATGGTGGTGGTGATGAT